CCCGACGGGGCCGTGCGAGTGCTGTTCCTGTCCAAGGACAGTGGTCGGACGCACATCCCGGCGCCGCTGGAGCAGGGCGTGGTGGCTGCGTTCAAGCAGCTGTACAAGCGGGAGCTGCTCCGCCTGGCGGTGTCCTGCGCGGGCGGCTCCCCGCTGGACTTCGTGCGCAGCTTCATGCTCAAGGACATGCTCTACCTGGCCGGCCTCTCCTGGGACCTGGTGCAGGCCGGCAGCATCGAACGGTGCTGGCTGCTGGGCTTGCGAGCTGCCTTCGAGCCTCAGCCAGGGGAGTGCGCTGGGCAGCGCGCTGGGCAGCGCGCTGGGCAGGCTGAGGCCGAGCACAGCAGGGTGCTCAGCGACCTCACCCACCTGGCAGCCCTGGCCTACAAGCGCCTGGCACCTGAGGAGGTGGCCGAGTGGCTGCACCTGGACGACGATGGGGGGCTGCCTGAGCGCTGCAGAGAGGAGGCAGGCCCTGGCCGGCCCCCTGCACTGGCCCCTGTGGCCCCTCTGTCTCTTGGCAGCCTACCCTCTGTCATGGAGGGCGGGGAAGAGGAGGCGGCAGCCATGCCCACCGCTGGGGAGGCCGTGCAGGGTCTGGAGACAGCTCTCCGGTGGCTGGAGAGCCAGGACCCGCGGGAGGTGGGGCCCCTGAACCTGGTGCAGCTGCGCTGCCTGATCAGCACAGCCAGGAGGCTGGGGGGCATTGGTCCCTCCGTCCCCAGCAGCCCCTGACAGGGTGTGACAAGCCAGGCCTATTGCCCAGGGGCCTTTGTCCTGTCCCACCTGGAGGAGGGGGCACAGTCCCCTCTGCCCTTCCCGGAGTGGCCACCCCATGGCTGGGAGTTACGGGATCCCAGCCCCCACAGGCTTGGGGGGCTCTGTTGGTGACGGGTTGTCCTGCTCCACTGGTTCCTCTCCTGGAGGAGCTGGAAGAGAGGCCCCTGCTCCTGCTCCCCCCTGTGGGAGCCGGGAGGTCTGCAGCTCAGCCAGGACCCCTCCCACGCACACTGGCTCGCACACACCAGGGCACCTGTCAGCACAGCACAGCTCACTGTTCCTGCCCTGGCCACCAGGACCCAGGCCTCCCCCATGGCCCGTCAGCTTGCACTGGACAAGGAACGGCCTGGCCCGGCTGTCCACCTGAGCCTCGGTGCTGTGGGTTCCTGTGCCACAGCCACAGCCACGACCACGGCTTCTCAGTGGGGAGGCACGACCCTTGGGTTTTTATCACATTACAGCCGTTTTTACAGATACTTGGGGGGGGGTCTCAGTCCGCAGCCTGGGTCCAGCCTCGCTCGGGTCAGGGAGACGGTGCCCAGCACGCAGGCCTCCTAACGTTCTGGATGCAGCAGGAGCATCTGTTCCACTCTGACGTCTAATTTTCCTAAGAAAATACATTCTCCAGGCAGCTCTCTTGTTCCGTGGGGTTGGCATGCAACTGGATCTGGGCCCTGGTGACCTGACCAATGACTGGACAAGCTCGCTGGACTCTCACAGCAGCCACAGCCCACTTTGTCCAGGCCCAGGGCCCAAGGCCACTCACCCACCCACCGACCAGAACAGGGAACAGGCTCCTGACAGCCATGCGGAGCCACCCTGCAGTGCCTTAGCCCTCAGGCGCCTCCCCTCGCTGGCAGCTGGCACGGCCAGGGCCCCGCCCCGCACCTGGGCTTCTGGGTGGCGGTGTGAAGGGGAGAAAAGCTTCCTGCGTCTCAGCCCAGCTCTTTCAGGGTCTGCTGCCCTGTCCACTCGATTCAGATCCCTGTCCCTCCTGGGAGCTGCCTTTGCAGAGGCGCTGCGGGCCCTGGTCCCATGTCATCCTGGTGGCCAGAGGCTGCGGACGGGTGTTGGTAGAATGGCTGCCCTGGGGAGGCCACTAGAGGGCGCCCCGAGCAGATTTCACACAAGTCCAAGACCATGAACTTAGGACTCCCCCAGTGCACACACACCTCAAATCTGAAAGTGAGGGAGGGTGTGGAGAATGGGAGCAGGGGAAGGGCGGCCGCCCCTGCCAGCTGTGGAGCCTGCACACCCAGGGGGCCTCTGCAGTCAGACCCGCCCCCGGGAGCCCTGCCTGTTACAGACCCTGCCCAGATGGGCAGCAGGCGAGGGTGCACGAGGTTCCAGGCAGCCTCTGGCCAAGGCTCCCAGCCCTTGCAGCCCTCGTGGGCCTGTGCAGGGGGTGCTGGCGTCCATGAGGCCGTGTCAGATTTCTTGCATGGGAGCCACGGCTGCACCCCAGGAGGCTCGGGCCTGTCTGGGGGCCGAGTGGGCACTGGGTAAAGCGAGGCCGGTCCACACTGGCCTGGGGCCTGAGAAGCTAGTTTGAGTGCCAAATGGGGGTCTGGAGGCTGTGGCTTTGCTGGACAGGGGACACCCTCATGAGGCCTGTAAAGGTGTCCCCTCCAAAATGGCGGCATGGGGGTGCCTTGGGGTGGAGGCTGCAGGCGCCCGGCCCTGGTCCTGGTGTGCCCTGGGCCCCATCCTGGTGCCGCGGGTTCAGTCACGTCTCCCTGGGCTAAGCTCCGTGTGAAGTCATAGGGCACCTGCCAGGGGCTGTCTGTGCGGGACCCGAGTACAACAAAAGCTGAAATGAACCCCAGGTTGTGGCCTCATCCACAGCCTGCCCCTCACTGTATCTGCTGGGCCCGAGGGCATCTGAGCTTGTCACCGGGTTTGTGATGACCTGAGAGTGAGGCGGGTCTGGGTTGATGCTGCTCGAATCCCTCATCCACGGTCTGCAAGCGGGAAACCTGCCTGGAGGATCGCACGCTCCCTGCCTGGCACAGGGGCCCTGGGGTCCTGCAGCCTGGAAGGCGCGGGGACAAAGCCATCAGCCTCCTCCTGTTCACAATCGTTGAAGGCACTGCTCTCCACACAGCAGCCAGGGTCAGGGTCAGGGTCACCGTGGGAGACCCCCTCCATGCGCTCGGCAGTGGGCAGGGGAGGTGTGTGCATAGGCTTCTGCTGAAAGCACCCCTGACCTACGTGGCTTTTGGGGGGTGAGGCCAGGCTGCAACAGTCGGGGGGAGGGGCACTGCTTGCCTAAGGGGCTCCATGCTTGGGAAGTGGCCCTCCAGACGTCAACAGCAGATGAGCTACCTGAGTGAAGTGGGAGAGGAAGGGGAGGGCCTCAAGCTGGGAGGCCCATCACCCAGGGGCCCCAGCCCATTGGCCCACGTGCCGGTCAGGCTGGCGAGAAGAGCCCAGGTGGGAGCAGGGCCCCGGCAGCTTGGTCCTTGGTAAGGGTGCCCCGGGGGAGCCTGGCTCTGGTGCTGTATCCCTGAGGGTGCCGTGGGCAGCCTGCTCTGAGGGCATGTTCACACCTGGCCTCGCTGAAGGCGGAGTTCACCTGCTCAGATGAGCCCAGTGGATTTTGTAATAAAGGCTGAACTGCCACCTTCACACACATCCCTGTTCTAAAGTCTTATTTGTGTAGCTCTGACCGAGTGCTTGGGTCAGAAACACCTCATATGGCCCAGCCACGGTGGCTCAGTGGTGAGTGTTGACCTATGAGCCAGGAGGTTAGGGTTGGAGTCCTGGTCAGGGCACGTGCCCGGGGGGCATGCAGGAGGCAGCCAATCAACGATTCTCATCATTGATGTTTCTACCTCTCCCTTACTCGCTGAAATCAATAAAAAATATATTTAAAAAACAACACCTCATATGCTGAAAAGTGGAAGGGTGTGAAAATGGGACAACACGGAACAAAGAAACCATCACATGCACGTTTCTTTGGGAAGCCGTTCGCTGTGGGACAAGGGAAGAGACCTGGCCGGCCAGGGACTGGGCTGCGACCCTGCCCCCCTTGAATCCGTGTGTCCTCCAGGTGGTCTGGGGCTCACCAAGGACCTCATTCAGGGAGTGGCTGCTGGGCCGAGCCCACCCTGGGCCCCAGGACTGAGGCGATGCGTGGCTGGGTGCCGGGGTGCCGGCGGGAGTCACTCACCGCTGCCAGGCCCAGGGATTTGGCTTTACCGCCTCCTGCTAAGTACTGGCCACTCGGTGCTTTATTCCCACTTCAGCGACTTTATTCCCACTTCACAGTAGAGAGAGCCCTCCTCTGATAATGGACTCTGGCAGACCCTCCGACCAGAGGCAGGAACGGTGGAGGAGGCCTGGGAGGAGGGACCGCCTGGGGCTGCCTGGATGGCGGGAGGCTGCGCGTAGGGCCCCAGCGCCCTCCTGGTGACCTCCCTGAGGCCTCGCTGGTGGGTGGAAGCCAGGGGAGCACCAGCCTCTGGGGCCTTGGCGGGCGGGAGGCCTCAGTGAGCCTTGGGGGCAGAGCCGCAGGCCACCCCCACCGAAGGCCCCACAGCCTCGCCTCGCCCCAGTGCCCAGCGGGACAGTCTGTTCAGGGACATGGGGAGGGCCAGGACCTGCCGTCAGAGGCCTGGGACCTCAGGACTTGACGGAGAAGGCTCACCAGAGCCAGCGACACCTGCCCCTTGCCAGGAGCCTGGGGTCTCGGGCGGGGCCATGCCAGCTGAAGCCAGTGTGTGGTCCCCACTGGCCAAGGCCCATCCTTCCAACCCTGACGCTGCCCTCCCCCCACAAGGCCCCCTCAAGGCCCCAGGCCACCCCACTAACAGGACAGACTGGTTCACTAGGGGAGCAGGTCTCGTGCAGATCCTACGTCCCCACCCCCCGAGCTCTCCTGTGCCTGGGGCTCTGCTCCTGCTCTGCCAAGCGGCAGGCCACGGGCCCCTGACCAGCACCACCAGTGCTCAGCCTCGGAGCCCACGGCCCCTGGGTGGTGGCCAGGTGATGGACGCTCAGGGTCCCTCCGGTCCTGCCCCTCGCATTCCCCGTGTGGGAAGCAGGGCACAGCCGTGAGGCCCCAGGGGTCAGAGACCAGTCCTCAGGGAGGGGCTGGGAGAGGGAATGGGGGCAGGGCTGCTCTGGGACCCTACTTCCTGCTGAGCTCCTTGGCCCGGCAGGTGGCGGCTTCCACGGCGCTCATGGTGGCTGCCCGCAGCCCGCCCTGCTCCAGGGCGTGAAGCCCATGAATGGTGGTGCCGCCCGGCGTGCACACGTCCGTCCGCAGCTGGGCCGGGTGCTGCCCCTGCTGCAGCAGCATCTTGGCTGTCCCCTGGGAGAGGAGCAGGGGGGGCAGTGACGGGGGACAGAGGAACCCCTCTCCCCCCCCGCACTGTGCAGCTTTGCCACGTGTCCCCTCTGCTCCGGGAGGCCCCCAGGCTCACCCCTTTCCCTGGTCCCCGGGCCACAGTCACTCACCAGCAGGGTCTGGGCGGCGATGCGGTGAGCCAGGCCACTGGGCATGCCCATCTTGATGGCGCCTTCAGCCAGGGCCTCAGAGAACACGCACACCTGTGGGGGCGGCGGGGTCAGAGCCAACACTCCCCTGGGCGCAGCCCCCGCGGGAAAAGGCTCGGACCTTCAGGAACCGGCCCAGGCACCGGCCACAAGGCAGGGCCCAGAGCTGAGGCCCAGGAGGGCAGTGACTTGGGGGAGCCGGGCTCATGGGCAGCAGGGACCACGCCGTCGCATCTGAGGGTAGGAGCGGCCACAGGGACTTGGCTGATGGCTGGCCTGTGGGGGTGGGGGGGGCAGGTAACACTCACGAAGGCCACTCCACTGCCACTGAGGCCCGTGTGGACGTCCACTTGGGCCTCAGGCACCTCCTCGCACTGCCCGCAGGCCTCCAGCAGAGTCCGCAGGAGCTCGACCTCGCTGCTCCCCGCGTGGCGGCCCCGGGCCAGCACCATGGCCCCCTCCTGGACCACGCAGGGCAGGTTGGGGGAGACCCGCAGCACCCGCGTGTGCGGAGGAAGCAGCTGGCCAGAGAGAGGCTGTGGTCAGAGAGCCAGGCCACACCTCAGCCAGGCTCCCTCCCACTTCCCTGGTGTGGCGCCAGAAGGAACCCTAACCCCAGGCCCCGTGGCCGCCTGGCCGTTCTGCAGGCTGGCTGCCACCCGTCCCCCCCATGCTGAGCCCAGGCTGGCACTGGTCTGAGGTCACACCTCATCGCCCTCCTCCCATGGGCCACTCACCTCCTCCAGGGAGCTGAGAGGAACCCCGGCAGCCACAGACACCAGGACGTGCTCAGCGGTGACCACAGGGGCCACCTCTGCCAGGACGGCGGGCAAGACGTGGGGCTTGGTGGCAAAGAAGACGAGGGAGCAGCTCTGAAGCACCTCCTGGTTGGAATGGGTGGTCTGGCAGCCCAGAGCCTGTGCCGGGGACGCAGGGGCCAGGATGGGGTAAATGGGCGCCTGCCTGGACCTCGGCCCTTCTCGATGGAGGCCACCCTGCACTCCCCTGGTTCCCGTGGGTCTCTCCCGTGGCAAATGCCTCACCACCCCACGCCCAATGCCGCGGGCTCGCCCAGGCCACCCCCTCTTGCTCAGGACCCAACCCTGAGCCTCACAGACTCCCTGATGGCAGCACCTCTGCGAGCTCTCCAACCCGTGAGTGCCCACGACCATCCCTGCCCACCACAGCATAGGCACACGCGCACACAGTGCACATACACACACGCGCACATACACACGTGCACACTCACACGTGCACACACATACACGCACACACACCCACAGCCCTTTACTCTGCCATGGCCCTCCACAACCTGGACTTTCCTCCTGGCCTTTGACCTCTGCTTCCCCAGCCCAGCCCAGCCAGCCTCGAACGTTAGCTGCGTAGGCAGGACTTCCCTGCCTCAAGAAGTGTCTCAGAGGCGCAGGAGCCGAGAGCCCCCCTGGGTCCCTGGAAGGAGCCTCAGTTCAGAAGAGCTGGGCCCCGGCTCACCCGGAAGTGACAGAGGTTCCGGTCCGTTGGTGCACTGGCCAGCACGTGCTGGGCTTCCACTTTCCCTGGAGAGGAAGGCCAAGGACTGGTGTTATTGGGGGGCGGGGGGATGGAGGGGAGGAGCCGGCCTGGCTGCCCCTTCCTGAAGATGGCCCTTGGCTGGCCTGAGACTCTCCAAGAACCCAGCGCTCAGCAGAGGTGCACCGTGCAGCCAGGCCCAGGCAAGCAGGTGGCTGAGTTCTACGCGGCAGTCACGGCCACTCGTGCTGCTGAGTCCAGAGGCCCTGCTGGCCACGGGGGCAGAGCTGGCCTCATCCTGTGAGGACACAGATCCCAGGGGCCTCTGCCTCCAGGGACTGGGAGCGTGGAGAGGAGGGGGACCTGATGGGGGTGAGGCCCAGTGGGGGTGGGGCTCCCCTGGGAGAGGGTAAAGCAATCCTGTGTGTGGAGGACGGGCCTAGGGAGGTCTAACCGGACGGCAGAAGTGCACCCCAAACCTGAGCCCGTGGTGTCCACTGTGCTCAACACGGAACCGGCCCGGCCCTGGGAGGCAGGTGATACCGATGGTCTCCACAGGTAAAACGCCGGAGACTCGCATACACTGTTCTGGGACTGGTTTTGACCCTCTGGCCAAACCATTCTCCCCAGGAAAAGGTTTCTAGTACTGCGAAGCAGCAAATCAGTGGTCTCACAGGATGACCTGGCCCCCAGGTC